CTTTCACCACCATGACATTCAATCGTGAAATTACTCAAACTAGTTTCTTATTATTAACGAAGATTATTTTTTGGCATACCGGGGCCAGCACTCTTATGCAAATTACAGACCGAGTCAGCAGAACTTACGAATTCCTTTACGTGTTTGTAACAGATTTTTGCATTAGGTTTTTTAATTGACTTTTCGCCGTCAGCGCACTTGTGACAAACCTATAAAGTATAACTCTTCAAAACAAATCATGGTATTTGTCTGAGTGTTCCATCTTTGTATTAATAATTATAACAAACGAGTGGAGTAATTTCACATAAATTGAATATCAATTCAATAAAAATTTAAATACAACGAATAGCGACATCTCTAGCCAGGGCTGATAACTGTAAAGGTATCTAACTGGGTGACGAAATACTTAAGACTTCTCATAGATGGCGCTACGGCTAAAAAGTTGTTTAAAAAACCAAATACAAAAACACGGCAACAAACACATAGAAAATTTCGTGAGGTCCGCTGGTTCGTTCCGTGGCTTAGTTGGTATAGCGTCTGGCACGGTATGCGGGAAGACGTCGGTTCGAGTCCGGCCGAATCGAAGGAATTTTTTCTGAGTGTTCGATCTTTGTATTAATAATTGTGTTATAATCATGGTAGTACATGGTAGTAACGTCATGGTGTTTAATAAGTAGGTTTTGAAATTGACAATCAATGCGGGTTGGAGTCTTCACACGTTTTCCGGTAACTTTCTTCGACGTGCAGATTGTATCACGATGTTTTCCTTCATCGAAAGGCTCATGGGAAATTTCAAATCAAATTTCGCACATAAATTCAGAGAACAGTCACACAATTAGGCTACCACGGATTTTTATAAGTAATATACTTATTACGAAAAATTTGCAAATTTAGGTTTCTTTGAATACATCTCACCTCCCAGATAATATTGTCATGATATTTTTTACAGTTCAGTAAAAACAATCCAGTTACCTAAAGATATGGAAGAACAAAAATTTGTTTCTGCCAAATACAAAAAATAGCATTCAACTGGACTAGTTAGCTCAATATACCTCACAAATGCAATCTAAATTGAAACTCGTTTCGGATAGACGACCACAGAGGAACCGATAATGTGTCCGAATTAAAAAGTGACGCTTTGGAAAGGTGAGTGCAGAAAGTTATGCTAATTTCAATCTCATTTGGATAAAAGAGGATTTAAAATTACTAGAGGAATAAAATCGACATTTATTTAATGACAAATCTCTTAATGAGTCTTTGACCTGTTCGGACGACTTGGACGAGCTATATGTGTAAAGTACGTAGGTACTTAGTGGGAAAGTAACAAGGACATTCTTAAACACTATTTCGCTTGAAGTTTTTTATTAAAATTCTATAGATCCAGCACGCTTTTCAGTTCACACACATTTTCTATAAAAAATAGACATCCTTCGGCCACAATCGTAACTATTTTTAACCAACTTCAAACAAGAAGGAGGTTCTCAATTCGACTGCATTTTTTGTGTCTATGTTACGTGATTACTCAAGATTTGTAAACCGATTTTAGTGATACTTTCTTTTATTAAAAAGAGGGTACCTCAGTATTGGTCTTATTTATATTTGAAGAATATATTCCACCTCTAAGGGTGGCAAATTTGGGGATGAATCCGGTTTCGCGCACTTGCCGTTAACCGATTTCAATAAAACTTAGCAAATATATGTAATTCCAATAAAAAAGTTATAATCATTATTTCATGATACCTTATGAAAGGACGAACAAGTCTTGCGCCTGGTGATAAATGACACGCCTGTCCATTATAGATGCAGTGCCGCTCAGGGCTTTAAATCGCAAAGACCCTTTACTCACATTACTGCTTGGCCGCAGAAATAGACAAGATAGCAGTACTTCTCTGGACGCATTCTTTCACAAGCCCTATTGCTACTAACTCGATTGACATGTGACCGATTATGGGTCGAAACATAAAACTGCAGAAATCTGCGAGCTGGCACGACGCATCGTAAGAATTTGCGAATTGCTCCGTATCGCGCATTTCTGCGATGTTAATATTCTTTGTGTTTTTTTTCCTATATTTACTTTTCAATAACAACAGTGCAACACTCTTTTTACGATCCAGGTCGCTACCTAGTTTAAAAAATACGTTCAGTACGGTTGACGATCGTTGAAGGTCATCCTTCAACGATCGTCAACCAGTTTGCCATTTAGCTCCTGACAATACAGACACAAAGGCGATAAACAAGTCACTTTTCTGATGTAGTTCTCCTTTTATATTATTTACCCATGAATTGAAAGTACTTACTGCATTAATAATTATGTAACAAGTATTGTACAGAGTCATATCTAACATAACACCTTTTTAGATAAATTTCGACATGTACCAAAATTGTTTCATGTTCCAAACTTCCTCGTAAAGTTATGATTATAATAGTTATATCAAAACAACAGTCGGCTTGAAATAAGGCTAACAAAACACTTGAGATAAGATGTCATCAGCTATGTAAACATTTCCTTTAATATAAAACCCAGTACATCATATTTGTTAATCTTGTATAAATATATGGGAATAAAGATATCTAATATTAACAAATGAAAGTAAATACAGTCATCATAGCAAATTTTGTCGACAAGTTGTATTAATTTCTAGGTGATTCAGTGTATTATCTTATCGGTTGGTCCACCATCTTAGCTTTTAGATTAGATTGCTCATATTCATTTCCGAAAAATAGGCAGTTGAATGGCGACTGGAGCGTGGGCTTACTTATTCGTGCATTTTGGTGAGATTATTAAAATATTTTTTATAGGCTCTTTATAATATTATAAGTATTCTATTACGTCAAATTTGTAACACGGGTGAGTTAGTAATTAGAAGTCTGCCGACTGAAATCCTTATCTATGTGAACGATAACGGTATTTATAGAGCGAATGTTGATAGATTGTTACTCAATGACGTTGAAACGGATAAAGGATAAAGATAAAACGCGATGGATTAGTAATTTATGAAGTGAATTATCCCTCAAGGTACTTTCCATTCATATGCTACATGAACAAAATAACACATTGAACCAAGACGAAATACCAACAATCACCTTAAGACAGAAGCTATGAGGAAAGACGTTTTTGATAACTAAACAAAAATGTCTGACGATATCCAGGATTTAGCAAGACAATATGAGGAACATGTACTTGACAAACAATCACGAAATGTCGGTTAGTATCAAAATACCATACTAAAAAAACACGTACGTTTGTTGTTTGTCAACAGTGCAGAACGCTGTGTCAACGATAAATGGTTCTATAATCTACAATAGTTTATATCTAGTGGAACTATGCAGTTTATTATAGATACCTAAGTATTGTATTTGTTATATAGTAATTTATGTTTTATTAAATTTGACAAACTTCTGTAGTTCCGATTTTTTCTTCCAATATAATGATATAATCCTTACAAGAAACTGAGTCGATCAGCATTAAATAACTTTTTGTCAATATTAATCACTTTTATGGAGAACTCACACTTGACCAAAAATTTACTGACTCAATTTTTTTTTTTACAAAAAATATCTACCTAATTTTAGTTTCCATGTATGTCCTATGGTTTCAGATTTCCCCATACTGTCCTGTTTAAAAAAACGCAAACTGCATAGAAAAAATTTGAAAAAATATACTTGCTGTTCCATAATAAATGTTACCTGTATGGAACAGTTTTTAATAAGGGGTCCCTGTAGCAAAAGTTGTTCGTCCTGGTGGGCAAAATTACACAATGGATTATCATGAAACAAAAAAGCCACTTTGTAGTTCAAGCTGGTTTAAAGATATTTACAATTTAGTCGTACAAGATTTAAAAGTCAAGTAATTTTTATGTATCAAAATGATCATTTCTAGAACTAATTTCCTTACAAAGAGGTGCCAAGGTAATATTCCTCTACATTATTTTAATTATCTGCCTACTCCCACCGTTGTTTATGATAGATTATTCTCATAACGAGTTCTTTAATGTTTTGATGAAGCGAGCAATCAATACTCAGCTCTGAGATACCTAATGAAGAGCACTTTATATATAGGCTATTATTTGTATTTTATTTATCTTTTGTTTTGGTTTATTTTGCTTTTATTGCATTATGTTGAAAAGTTTAAGTAATAAAATAAGTAAAAACAGTTTTCTCCCATGTATATCACATACATAAGCATGTGGTTTATCTAAAATATCCTTAGATACATACACATTTCTTTAATATTTAGGGTTAAATTTTTTCGGAGTTTCATTTTTTACAATAATAATTTCAGACAAATTGAAGGTTTGCTTCCAATACTCAAGTTGGTATTTAAAGCAACAAATTCATTTCCTTAACATTTTTTAATTATAAAAACTTCAAGAGTTATATTTCCATAACGATTTCTTAATTTTCTTCCCAATTTCTTTCCAGAAATTAGATTCAAAGTTCTTTGTTATTGAATTTCGTTCCAACGTATAGAATTTTCAAGACTAAACTGCACTAGAGTAACTTCTGCCGCAGTAATTGACCAAAGTATAATTGGTAATTACAAATATAATTTAAAGACACAAACAAACTAATAATTGATAATTGGTAGAGTGAATGTACGTAGGTATTACATAAGTACGTAAACAAGCTTAGATTGCTAGCATATCTAAGGTTGCTTATTTATTATATTTTCAGTGCAGTGGTTCAATTACTAGTTCTTCTTCCTCTTCTTTAGCCTTTAGTCATCCACTGCTGAGTGTAGGCCTTCTCATTTGCGTGCCATTCTCTCCAATCTTGGGCTATTTGCGTTCAGGTATGTCTGGTTATGTCTTTCATCTATCGAACCTTCTGGCGGCCGACGCTTCTGGTACCGGTCCTCCGTCTCCACTCCAGCACTCTTCTGATCCACTGATCAACGGTTCTATCCCGAATGTCTGTTTTTTATTTTGTCGCTCAGAGTGACTTTGCTCCTTTTTTTGCATTTGGTCATTTATTTTACATTCAATTTCTTTTTATTTCAGGGTTGTTCCCGATTCCAGAGTACCCGGAGTTAGAGGCGGGCCAAGGCATGTGGTCAGCCGCCCTCGAAGTAATCTTGACGACCCTGCGATATCTGGCACCGGCGACACTGCTAACGCTATTCTGGGGTCAACAAAGTTTCCTGTTCAAGCTATTGAAGAGCGTCGACTCTGCTTTTAGAGCTAGTGAGTATTATCATCTGTAAAGTAGGTACCTACTAATAATTATCTAATTAGAAGTATATATACGACTTTTAAAAGACCCATTAGGAGGTAAAAGATACACCGTTATAGACAATTAATGAAGTCTAGAAACGATATTTAAATGTCAGGTCCCAGGTCCGTAGTCTTTCTAGTGGAAGGTCTTACATTGCATCTTTGTACTCACTTATGAAAAAAGAGAATATACCTACTGCTTTCACAGAATCAAACAATTCATATTACAATTTCACGCATGAGACGTTCATTCCTAAGTCAAATGTTTATTTTGCCTACATATGAAATCTGAGTTTATATTTCTTGTACTTGAATATGTATTACAGTCATGGTCGGATGGAGCTGAGATAATGGTAAACGCGTATTACGTTACCTATGCCTACATATCTACGATAGTTCGTAGTATACGTATTTCGTGTTAGATGTATTAAGATCGTAGATAAATCACAAAAGAAATTAAGATTTGAAATCAATTTTTTCCGCGTCTAAATAGCGTATATTTTTCAAAGAAACATTAGTTGTATTGCCTTAATCCACTCACACGAACAGCCTCATACCTTTCTACATTAGTTTTGATTATAGTGGCCCTCCCTATCGACCCTTAGGGTATACGCCAAGGGCACTATAACCTGTGCGCGCACAGAAACCTTATAAGTTCAGATTCTGACCCCAAATCAGCCAGTGTACAGGGTCGTCACAGAGCTCTGTCACTTGACTTCATTCGGTTCTCGAGGCTAATGCCTCGGGTGAGCCGCCCCAGGTGCACGAACAATACCCACCCTATTTTTCAGATAGGTACCGGAGCTGTAAGCACGTTCACTTACCAACGCTGAAAAACGACGTCTCTTCAGTTCCCAATAACCTAAGCGGCTGGAGGGATTGGAGGATATCTAGCTTATTATCTACTAGCTCTCCGGGCTAGTGCCAGAGATGCCAGTCGAAGTGCCCTGCGACAATGTCCGGACATAGCTTTCAACTTAAAGGGCAACACACGTGTCCCGCGCGTCTCCTCGCCTCAGGCTCTCAACTAGACCAATACTAAGACGCGCTAGCTGCGCACAGGACGAACGTCCCGGCCACACACCACCGGGTCTACCCATTGGATGTCACGTTCATTACTTTGATACCTCAACTAACACATTGTCCTTAGCAAGGAGATGTTCTAGCTCTTTTTAGCCAAACGGTCCGTGGTCCTTTTGTTGCGCCATTTGAGTACTTAACTCGAATGACGCCGTACTCTAATGGCCCCACAAAATTGTAACATCACTAGCAAAGTAATTTATTTCTTACTTACTCATTGTTTCTGAAAGCTGAATATTATTTACAAACATAATTTTGATTTTCCTCCTTACATTTGAAATAATTTCACATCAATTTATTAGAATTTGTTTGCACACCTACTTACGTATTATCTCGACTCCAATCTTGTCCATTACTAAATAGGATAATTGTTTGAATTAGGTCTGCCTAAAAAATCCGCGCGGTATCAAGGTACAAATGAGAAACATAAAAAAAATCAAACGTTTATAATTACGCATTGGCCATTGGAATATTTGTAATCTAGGTCTCTTAAAGTGCTGTAAGCACTGTTGTTGGTCTCTTTGTTATCAAAGTGGTGTTAATTCAAAGAGTTTTGTTAATACCGAAACAAGTTAGTTAGTACCTATCTAAAGCGGCTACGTCATGCAAAAACCATAAACGCGGTAACACATTCCAACCTAATTACAATAGTTTTTGACAAGTTGTGAGTGGTTTGGTATCTCATGATGAAATACGACACCTATGCCATTCACCCACAGTATATATCTATGGATTCACCAGTTCTGGACGGTAAGAATTATAAACTTAAAACTTTCCCACCTATTATTTAAATGCGCGCTAAAATATTATTTTTAAAATGACCATAGACAATATAAAGAAAAAAAAATTTTTTTGTTTAAACTTAGCTAGTAGCACAAACCGCACGGATTTTTTTGGCGAACTTATTAGATACGAGTAGGATATAAACTAATCATTAAATTTTTTTATAAGAAAGACACCGACGTCGTTGAAATCAGTTAATGGAAAGTGGATGAAATCCAATAAACCGGATTCATCCCCTATATATTTTTTTCAAATTTGAATAGAACCACTACTGAGATATCCCCTTTCAAACAAAAAAAGAACAATAAAAAAACAGCCGAATCGAGCGAGAGCCTCCTCTTTTTTGTCGGTTAAAAAGAGGTCGATCCCGTAAAATAGTCATCGAAATGAAAAGCTCACTTCAGAAGCTTATTGAATAAATATTTTGACCTTAAGACTGTGTAATAATCTCTCATTAATGATAATTTTAATAATGTCATTATAACTTCCGATCACATCAAGAGCTATCTTAAATCAAATTACTACGCACCTGTGAATTCAAAGGTTAATTAAATAAGCAATTTGGAGTTATCTGTTCCACAATGTTAGTTTGGATCTTGATAATTTTAATTCTAAGACGGCTGTAGGCAAGATGTTTATGATTAACATTTCTCTCTTTGTGTAACTCTCGCCTTTCGCTTGGGGAAACTTAGACAAGACAGACAAGGGGAATTTTCTCTAATATTGATAGGAATTCTGCCCTCCTTGTCATAAATCATAACTAACGCATTTGCATTTCGGTAACTTTCGAGCTTAACTCCTGATGTTTTTTTTTTCTCTTGAAATTAACAAAACAATGAATAATTAGTATATTTTCTATATCATCACTCCAATTTACCCTTAACGTCTTACTATTGTTAATAACATCATAATAATTGTATCATTAGGATCCGGTGGTGGATACCTGATGACCTATAATAATAAGGTCCAACCTAGTTTATGCACCAGTTTTCCGCCTCACAATTTAACTGTACGTATTATATTCTATCGATTATTGACTGAAACTTGGTTTCGTTTAAGCAATAAACAAATAAATTGTATAATTTGAATCATCATTGGCCCTTGTCAACTGATGGGCACAGGTTAAATTGAACTATTATAATTATTATTTAAGAGAAGATATATTTTAAAGTCTTTCATTTTAATTCATTTAGATAATCAAATCCGCCTGTCCGTATTAAAATGTATATGAATAAAAATTTATTTCGTTATACTAGTAGTACAACTGTAAAAAAAGAATAAAAAAGGCAGTAACCAATTAGTAATAAGTAGAACGTTGTAAACATGCGCAATTCAGACATTTCGTGAAATTTTACCTTCTTTCACAATCCATCGATAAAGCTATCGACAACCCTGCAAGTGTAATTTTACACCGTCTTCAAAAAAAGACAGACCATAGTGTAATCACATTGTAAAATGTATTGAGGTAGAAAAGAGCAATAAACTAATTGTATTGTTTCTGGAATAATTTAGGTGGAATGTGTATATTGTTAGTGTTACCTAAAAAAATGTCAATTACGCTGATTTTGCTTAACAATAAAACTAAAACTACATAAGATATTAAAAAACAAATGACAAATAATAACTCCATTTCACTAATCATCTCGATTACATTACGTAATCTAATAAAGAGAACAGAATTGACATTCATAGAAAACTGTAATGCTTGCACAAGAAAATACTGCTATATGATTTATATCGATTTTCTTCACACGTATATGAGATTTCATTATATGTAACTGCATAACTTATGTAATTAATAAAATAAAATGGAAATAAATTAATTTGCTACTCCGCGGACTCGATGATGGTTAAATCGTGCAAAATAGATACGCTTTTATTGCATTTTCTTCATGCAGTTAATTTTAACATCCTGTCTCCCTAAGGATGTCTCGTAGAAAGACGAAATACTTGTTGTCTATAGTTTTGGTGGTGGCATTCGTGACTGTATAGTCTGTCTTTTTTGTAGACAGAGCATAATGAGAGTCCATGGCTCACGCATAAATATTCTTCCGACTATCGACTGAATATTGGTCAAGCTTACGGAATAAATAGCCGAACTTAATTTATTTCAATCATCATCGGCCCATTATTCGTTCAATTACTGAGCACAGGTTCATTTGAATTGTCAATTTTTGTAAATTCATACACATATACACTGTATTTAGAACTATGTCTACAAAAAGTACAAAGAGGAGACATATCTTAAACTTTTACATTTTAATTCAATTTAGATAATAAAATTCGCCTATTCTTATTAAAATGTAGATATATGAATAAAAATTGATTTGCCACTAGTAGGCCAACTGTCGAAATGAGAACAAAAAAGACAATAACGCAATTAGTAGTCATTAGAACGTTGTAACATTCACAATTCATTATTTTTTGGCATAACTTTATCTTCTTGCACAATCTGTCGATATAACTGTCGCCAACACCTACATGACTATTTAAAACTTTATGATAACTGGCAATCCTGCAAATATCGTTTTACTCCGTCTTAAAAAAAGATAGACTATAGTTGTGCTTGTGTTTTCTGTTCTATTAATTTTACTTAGATGGAGGGCGGGAAAATGAAATTAATAAAAAGAATAATGAACACAAGCGCAGCTATTGTAATGTACTGTACCCTTGTAATGTACCCTTGTAATGTACCCTTACTGGGTTCGCGGAGTAGAAAATTAATTTACTTCCATTTTTAGTAACTATGTAACTAATACAGAGCGAGATTGCCATGAGATACAGCTATAGACATGATACAGCTCAAAATGTGAAGTAGGTACTAAATCGAAAATACCCTGAAAAGTTCATTATTATTATTATATATATAAATTATTATTATATATGTATATAAAGCTACAAGTTCTTACTCACTGATAGAAATAGAGCGCATACTTCCCGATATGGTGGAAAAAAAAAAACCGTTGTACGCGGATAGGCTCCAAAGTAAAGATTCAAATATGAGAGGACCGCCTGAATATGGAAAATATGAAAGAGTGAACAACGGCCTGCAAAAACTATAATACATGGGGGGGAATTTTTGTGCATTTTTATGAGATAGGTACACCCTGGTCAATTTCCGCGGGAACTAATAAATGTTCGAAATTCAAATAAACAAGACGCCATACAAATTTCAAAGCCTCCTATCACGGAAACTATTAGAGATAGGTAGGAGGTGCTCGAAGGAATGTCATAGAGGGTAACACTGGGCAACTGCCTGGGTTAAAAAATTCAAGATGGCGATTTCAAAACGGCGGCCGAAAAAAAAACTTGCTTCAATCCGGCTGAAAATTGGCATGCGAAGGTCTTTATTATATGGCCGCCATACAATCTTTTTCAGCGGCAGATAATAATTTGCACTAATTCGATTGAAAATTGACATGTCGTTGTCTTTATGAGTGTTTAATAATAATTAGCAATTAAAATTTATTTTTCACCATTATTCAATATGGCTACCATATAAACTTTTTGGGCGATAGATACAAATTTCTTCTAATTCGACTGAAAATGACATGGCATCGTAATTTGGGGTAAAAATTTTGTTTCCGCTGTTTTCTGATATAGCCGTAATTTATTTATGTAACTTGCTTTGCTCGCACTGAAAATTAGCACGAAAAGATTTCTAAGATTGTTTGATAATAATTAGTGGTCCTAATATTTTTTTGTAATTTTTAAATATGGCCGCCAATGAAGAGCTATTTAATTTTTTTTAAAACAAAGACCTAAGTGCCGAGGCCGCGGCCGAGGTCCGCGGAGGGCGAAGCCCGAAGCGTCCGCACGCCTTCGTGTGGAGGTAATTATATACGGAGGCGTACTTAATCGATTACGAGTAGGTACAAGATCTCACAATTGTAAAAATGTAAGGCATACTTCCCGATGTAGTCGAAATGAGATACTTATTATAGCGTTGGTGTATCTCAACCATATCTGTTAGATTCCATTTTCCCAAAAAGCTATGCCAAAGAGAAGTATTTAGAGGGAAAAAATGCTAAACTACTGCCGAATTTCCTGTACTATGAATACCAAAACAACGATAATCCAGAATGCTCAGACCAAAACCAACTTAGAAATGTTCTACTCAAGTTTTTGTCGCGCCGCCATGTTTAAATTAATAAGTAGGTAGGTATTCGTTTTTGTACATTTCTTTAAATAAGAAACAGTGTTGGACATTAACTTTATGGAGTAAAAGAAGTGTAATTTATGGCATTTGAAATTACTACGAACATTTTTGTTGATGCGAAAACTCAACATTGGCGCTACCAAATAAGAGTAATTAACTTTTAGTTACAATTGTATAAAGTTTTTTGAAACCAAACAACTTTCGCATGTTGTCTTTTCGTTTTGTACCAGTGAAGGGAAATATCGTGATGAAACCTGTATTTATGTCGAAAACGGTTCAGAAACCTTACAAAATGTGTCAAGTTTCCAATTCACATTGTTCCAATGTGCCAAATTAAAGCCTTAGTAGACTCTTGTCTGATACTGAGCACGCCCTTAAAATTGTATCAACAGGTAAAGTACGACGATAAATAAACTATGACCTATATAAATATTGAAATGTACTTTATAATACCATTACAAAACTCTAAAGTATGAAACAGATATTTGCATTACATCGCAGTTTCAGCCCGTTTCAGATTCTAACTTACGGCTGTTTACTCGTGACTCATGTCTAAAACTAAACAATAAAGTCTGTGTCTGATGACTTATCCTAATCTTATTTGTTTTTATTTTATGCCTTGAGTCTAATTAAAGCGATATTTTATCTTTAACTTTCCTTCAAATGTGAACATGGATTCCTTTACAAAAGCCATTCAATATCATAGATAGAGTCGCACCATGAAATTTTAAGCGAACTTTTTTAAAATCCTTTGTAATTAACTTATTACGCCATTGTGCCTCAAGAAGCAATAAAAGGTATTTGTAAATACTAATCTTGTATCCTTACCAACTATATCAATAAATTACGTAAGATATTTACTTATGTGCTTAGTGATAGCACAGTCTAAACGCGCGACGTACAAAGTAAACATCGTGAAAAAACAGGTCCACAAAATCTCGACTAAAACATGTGACGTGCTTGGTATTCAAAATCAAAATTTTCCTATGCTTTTGTACAGTAGTACCTAAGTAGTGTTTAAATTAACACAATTTGTCTCTTTACCATTCCAGTCGTATTTTCAAGCGAAGGACAAAAGCAAGAAGTGTTGCAATGGCTGGCGGAAGCCGGACCCGTGCGAATCGAACACCTAGAGACTGTGTGGCGGCACGGGTGGATCCTATGTGGTGTGTTAGACTCCGCACTGCCAGGCGCCTGCGCCGGACATCCACCTACGAGGCTTTCTTTGAAACATGCTCAAGCGATCGCTGATCATTATCTTGGCGTTGAACCCGTAAGTATAATGATATATTCAATATGACTTTTATTTTTCATATGAGAAAGAAATACAGTTTATTTTCTTTTTATCGCTTTTGACCTCCATCGCACCTGATGAAAAGTGACATTAAGGTCGACGATAGAGCATGCACGCCATTATTTAGGTGTGCATGCTCCAGCACCTCTTCACTCTCGATTTGAAAATCCCAGAGTTATATCCTTCAGGGAACTAGTCAAACTATAAATTAATCTAATATACTTACTTCAATACTAATATAATACTTCAAGATACTTAAATCACCATCTACGAGTGAGTACAAAAGATCAAATCATTAGCGATCATATTTATGGATTTTAAGTTAGTGTTGATAAGAATTATGTCAACAGTAGTGTGACACGAAGCCATAAAAGACTAAATCTGTTCATAACAATATTTAAGTGGCTTAGTCTACTTCAAAAGATGAGAACTCACTATTACGTTTACAGTGTGATGTAAAGCAACTAACTTTAGTACCTTCTTTACAGATTATTGTAATTTTTTGTTCACAGGTCTTCTCCCGTCAAGAACTAGAATCCAATGGCGCTTTAAGCAGACATCAAGAATGGAAACTAGCTACATACTTAGATCGAATTCGACAAGCTCTAGCCAAATTAACACCTCCGGTTTCTAAACCGCAGTCTCAAAGAACTTCACCAGAAGCCATTCAATTTACACTCGACTTTATAGCCAAAGGGTCAGGCCTGATAGCAGCCCAAGTCAAAAATAAAGCGCAATTCAAGGTATGCCCGACGTCGCAGCAATCTCTAGATCCAGGTGAAATAACAATTCTCATAAGAGGTCCAAAAGACACCTACGGAATGAGCGTGATACCTCCAGTTTTGGGAAAGGCTCAACTAATCAGGAAGAAGTTGTTGGGGTTGCAAACAAAACCAAACTTGACGGAAAATGCTTTACCTATTACTCAAGGAACGACGTACTTAAGAAACTACGGAAAGAACGACATGACTAAAACCTACTATATTCCGAAATCACAGTACGATATTAACATCGAAACAGAAACTTCAATAGATCATGCTAAAATAAGCTACACTGTAAATTTAGAAGGCAAATACGAGATTTATATTACCAGTCGAGGTCAAAATATTGTTGGATCACCGTTTACAGTAACTGCTGCGAATAATGTAATAGATATTTTTGAGAAAGATAATGAATGGTTGGAGCATGGGGAAGAAATTGACATAGTGGATGTTAAAACTGACAGAAAAGTTATTCTAAGAATAGTTGATTTTGTCACAGAAAAGATGTTATTGAATGAAAATGGTGTCTTAGAAAAAATAAGCGACGACGATGCGAAACTTTTGATGTCCACTGACGGGCTTGATGCGAAAACCGATCTAAACGACAGAATAAAAAAGGCTATAAAAACTATAAGCACCAAATCTAAATCAAATGGCTTTAAAGAAACTGCGAGAAAAATAGTGCAAATGAACAGAGTCTGCAATGTCATGAAAGGCCTTGTTGCTCAGAAACCTAAAAAAACAAAGAAACAAAATAGTCTTGAGCAATCAAATGAACGAGATGCAGCTTTTTCTCGCCCAAGAAGCCAGCAAGATGTCCCAGACATAGTGAATTCTACCTTCAGTGATATGAAAGTAAACCCATTCGTTACTGAAAAACGAGATAAGTTTATTGTACCTAAAAACATAACTGTCTCTCTTTATACTGAAAAAGCAATGCCTTTGTATGAAGACAATATTCGGAAATCCTCTACCGACCTGAATAATAGTCCTTTGACTCTGTGTACTAATGATGATGCAGCAGATAGTCTAACTAATTATAGTGAATACCAAGACCAAACCCAAGATAACATTTTAACAGGTAAAGCGAGGACCTGCAGCAACCCTTTCTTAACCGAAATGTGTATCCAAGACTATGCAATTGAAAAGGAATTGCGTTCATTTGTAAACACGGAATATGAGACAAATAATTCGCAACACGAAGAAACTGAAGATGGTCCTATAAGGATCATAGTGGACGAACAAAAGAGCGAGTCTCCATCTCCTATTAACATGAACCCTTTTTCTGAACCTGATGTGATTCTGGAAAGACCAAAAACACCAATCCTTAAAATAATTACTGGAGAAGTTAAAAACCGTGATGGTTCAGTGTATATCGATCCTGAAACAGAACGATTCACCGATGAAATACTTGCAAATGAGTTTATAAATCCCTTCTTTCTTCATCGTCACCAAAGCCAAAATGACGAGACACTACCTATAACGGATTTTATTATAGGTGCGCCAGTATCTTTGCCCCCCTTAATCAGAGCAACAACACCCGAACCACATATGGAATCATTACTAATTACTAGTCAAGAAAACACAGCAGTACTTGTGGACGATTGTGGAATCAAGCAAGACAGCATCAACAAAGAATCTGCGTCCATCTTTTCAACGCCATTACATTGTAACAAGATCAAAATAAATGAAATTAACACGGAAGATAATCACCATTCGCCAATTTCCTCAACGTTCCATAGTTTAGACACGAACACAGCTAATACCGACAATATAGAAATAATAAGCTTACCTAACATCAGCGAATATCAAGAGAGCTTTGAAATAGATACACAATTTGCGATGGATGAAACTGTTAAAAAAGATATCTGGGATTCAGCATACGTAAGTATAGATGACAATAACAGTTCACCAGATAGCAACAACAATGATAACCAATTGTGTGAGATAACTAGTAAGCAAAGATTTTCTCTTAGCGACGACAATTTTGAAATTTCTAACATGGGCCCAGCAGAACGTGAAATATGGCAAAGTTGCGCAGAACTTCAAGATAATCCACCAAAACAATACGACGAAGTGAAAATTAGTAGGTGGGAAGTCAAGAGGCCCGCATTTACTCCAATACTAGAAGAGAACGATAGAAGTATGTCGACAGGTTTGAAAGAGACTACAAGATCTGATACAACACAAACGGTTGACACGGCAGTGGCATTTCCTGAACTACGGGATAAGTACGGAAAATACCTTACTAATTCCGATTGTATTTCAACTGATTTCAAAGAAATTACGATCTCAAACAAATTTGTCACAGATATGACTAAAAGATACGAAGCGAGTGTCGATTCCGCATCTGAATTACCAGATGTGAAAAGACACGCGAAGGAATTAGAAGGTAAGATTTCTGAGGTTCAGGCAAATGTCACTGAATCTGTTTCAGTAAGTCAGACCCTTCAAAAATATGAAAACGAGGTACCCAACAATCAAGGAGTTCTATTTGGAGATAGTAACAAAAGCAATATTGTGTTAGAAAAGAAACAATATTGGGACAAAAAAATACAAGAAATTGAAGCCATGTCATTAGAGGAAAATAAATGTCAACAAAAGCGAAAACGGGTTTCTGCAAGACATTTAAGGAATAACGATTCATTAACCAAGCGCAGAGGAAAACAAATTGTCAAAAATTTCTTAAACGCAAGTGATCAACAAACAACAATGACCGAGGCACAGATACCAATCAGATCAAGTCCTTCAAGCCCTGATTCTCAAACATCTTTAGATGAACCTATGCCCGACGTGAAACTCGTTGACAAATGGAAAAAATATTGGGATAACAAACTTGATACCGAAAAAGATGTTGAATCTACTCGTTTCAGCGCAAAATCTCCTAAAAACAAAGAAACGCGTGTATCACAACAGCCGAAATACAAAAACGAAGATACTGTTGAGACGCGCAAGGAACGATTTGAAAGTATTACACCTTCGCCCGTCAAGCAAGAATTACCCGAAGAGGTTTTTAAGGCGTTTGAAACTAGCCCTAAAAGATTTTTCGGGACATCCAGGAAACAAATCCTAAATAAAATTGACACTTTTTTAGGAAAGCCAAGCACCCCAGACGAATCATCGACAGAAGTTAGCGGTGCTGCCCATCACGACATCGGTTTGGTTTCTAGTAGAATTTCTTTGTTCCATAATATCTCGCAAACAGAGGAGGTAGCTTGGAAGGGAAGAAAATGTCAATCCATGCATAATATTTTCCAACGAAAAGAAAGCAAAATAAGCAATATTTCTGATGGAAACACGTTTGTAAACGAAGACAAAACAATTGATGAAAACGACTCCAAACTACTCGAAGTTACTACTCCTAATATAATGAACATTATTGAGACTAATGCGTTTAATGTTTCTCATAAAGACAAAAGCTCTCAAATGTTAAATAAAATTAAAAGTTTCAAAGAGACTACTAATCAGGACGAGAAACCAATTCAAGAATTAGCACTGGAAACACAAACACCTTGTGTCTCAAAAGTTATAAGCCAAAACAACAGCGCCAGTAAAGTTCATGGAAAAAGCAATCCTATTGCAATACTTAAAAAGTCGTCCTTCAGCAAATCTGAAATGGATATTTTCAAGAAATTTGAACCAAAGCACGAAGAAGACGATTTCGATAAATACAAGTCATGTGATGAGTTGCCAAGAATCAATGTTAAAAATTTCATAACATTATATGAAAGCGTATCAAAGACTGACATCAATCAGCCGGTCATCAAATCGAATTTGAAGAAACTTAACGGTACATCGTCAGGTTCGTAATATTAATATTGTGAAATAAATAAGAAATAGTACTTGTGACATATACCTATGTATAAATTTCTTGTGCAATTTTACCAAAAAAAATTAAAAAAAGAAATTTATGTTACAGGCCCTGTTAACAAAGGTGGTTTACAACACTTCTCTACGAGACAATTTTCATCACTTGACGAACAGACTAACAGTATGTCGGCTATTGATCTGAGGCCATCAAACAACAGTCGGCTGAACAAAAACTTTGGGAGTGAAATCTTTAATTCCAAGAACGTCTCACCTGACGTAAATAAAACTGATCTACAAAAATCTGAAACAGAAAATACTTACGTCAGTCTTTCGGATATAGAATTAGAAATAGTGGAAAAGGGTGAGGAGCCTATGAAAGAGGAGATAAAAAAAGATTCAGATATTAGTCATACTGACTACAAAACACGATTCAAGATGGCTAAGGAGTTCTTCCAATCAATGGATGAGATTAGAGAAGTCAACAAATCTAAGAAACTAAATGAATGCGAGATGTTGCTGTTAAAAACTTCGATAGAGTCCACAGAATCTCCAGAACCAGAGAAAGAAAATAAACAACAGAAAAAGAAAAGCAACATAAAAAAGTCATACTCATTGCCGTCATCCGAAATGTCCAAATACTGGAATAAAGTTGTCAAGATCTCTGAAAAGTTCAATGTAGACGATCTTTTCAACGATGTTATGAAAGGCAGACTGAGTCGACAGGGCAGTTTGAGAGGCATACCCCATAAGAAAGCAGTTCTTGAGACTTTTAAATCTATGGAAAGTCTAACCGATAACAAAATGAGCCCTTATGAAATGGCAGTACTACAGCTTCAAGACTTTGCTGAAGAGAACCAGATTAAAAATGCTCAGACGTATTTAACCGAATATCCTTACTTGCCGACTACAGATCCTTCTAAATATCAGTCTAGATTAGATACTAAAGCTTCAGGTCTTGTTACTTTAAAAGAATTAAAGAAAATTAATCAAAAGCCTAGAAGGAACAGTGTGCCAGATTTAAGATTGAACACAAAATTCACGGTTAATTTATAATTACGTTTTAATTCAGTGACATTGTTTAAGGTCCTACACCGGTGTTCGCAAGTCAGGTCCGAAGAGGAAGACGTAAGAGATAGCAACAATTTACCAACTTAGGACCTAGATTTTAGGAAATAAAAATGACAGTATTTGCTAGTACCTAAAAGTTAGTGTAATACTCAGTTTTGATGTCGCTAAAGTTTAATTTCTTTCATTCATTTTGTGCTGTTGTTTAAGAATTTATGTTTTCATACTTAATGTATTATTTAAAAATAGTACGGTTAGGCTAAAGCTCATGTACAATTGTACAGACTCTGAATCTAATTGTTAAGTTTTAAGAATAATTAATATCCTTGTAATCTATTTATTTCCTCAAATAAATTTTAATTGCAAATAGTGTTTAACTTCCAAAGGCGGATAAAAAATGCAACCTTCATAATTGTTACAAAATATTTTATTTCTAAGTAATAATATAATTTACAAATTCTTGTTCTGAAATATAATGCTGTGGATTTGCAATCTCCACTACAACATAGAGATCATACAATTTTAAAACAACTCACTATATTTAATACCACTTTTAACATTGAGGTCATCAAATACGACAGACCGTAAAACCAGTGGAAAGTCCAACAGTCGCTCTACAAAATATTTACCATACGCATCTGTACCCTCACGAGTTTATAGTCATATATAGTATAGTCGGTAGCGACCGCGTAAAAAAAATAAGTTGCTTTTTCTTGTGACTACTAGATGGCGCTGTACAATTGGCCAAATAAAATTGTCAAATCCTTTGCGGGATCGCTAGCTACAACTGTCACAGCAACCGCATTGTAGAAACACTGAATTATCGCTATATAAGCTTTATAAGATAGTATCGCTTTATAAGCAGATTAGTTACAAGCATTGAATATGACTGATACGAGGACCTATTGTAAAATATTTCCAAATGCGAAATAGTCCAGCGCTCCTAGTGGACGCGTAAAGAACTTAAATATGCTCGTTTTAAAATGTAGTCACTAGAGCTGCATTCCGATAACAGCTGCTAAATAGAAACAAAAGCTGTTAAAGCAAAAACGACATAAGGATGGAGTATTCCAGACTTTCGAGGGAAGAAGGAACGGTGAAAGTAGAATGCGCACTTTCCGAAACGTATCCCATAGTAAACCGACAAGCAGGCCACTTTTCTGCGGTGTTTGAAATTGTAAAGTTTTTATTCCACAAGAGAGTGGTTGCAAATTTTTTTTTTTGCTTGTCGATGCTCCATTTTTTTCTTTTTTTGCAAATGCAAGTTAAATCCTGTTTCACCGCTGGTGCGATACCTATTTTGCAGTCGGGGCGAAGTCCGTATGACTATGCACTAACGTGTTCGCAAACGACTTCCAAGTTTCTAAACTCATGATTGAATTACAGAAATTTCAGGAACTATGTATTACAGATTTTCCTAGTTGTTGTTTTGATGACGTATACGTTATAAAGAACACTTAACATAGTTCTAACTAGGTATTATCATTTAATATGAATCTGCACATAAGTGGACGCCGCGTCAGCTCGTCTCCATCGCAACCAGGCTGCCGTCTGCGAGTCGGTGCGAGATCCTCGTGCTTCTAGTTGTTGGTAATACGCTTCACGGATTATACGGAATGCGTCCACGCTTCTGTATGGCAGTTTTGTTATGGGATCTATGTAGCGGGCTGGTTTTCTGGAAAAATTAAAAATTTGTTTGAATAACGTGTTAGTTCGAGCTCACGAAAGAGTAACGAAAAAATTCAAATTTTTCAGAAAAATAAATATTATTCCAAATAATGATTCTTATATTTTTCTTAGAGTATAGAAACCAAAGGACATGTTATAATATAAATCAGACGTTATATGTATGTGATGCATTGAGACGTCGAAAACATAAACATTTTATTGTCTTTGTTTAACTACTGCGTGCCGTCGTAAGCCAAAAGAGATAACACTACATTGATTTATGTCAAACACGGGAATTGAAAATACGTAACGTCATCTTAAATACCAACTGTCCTCATTTTGCCATTTTTGTAGTGCCCTTTAAGAACCGTCTCCGGTCGTCAAAGGGAAGTACATCAAATGTCAAAACCAATGTTTGACCAAATATTTTAATGAATTATTCGCATGAATTGTAATGAAATGGACAAAAATATTGAATAAAAATGCGTCGCTGCAACATTAAGGGATGCGTCGCTGCAACATTAAGGGGTGCAGCAGTAGAAAAAGTGGAAATCAACTGAATGTTACATCATACAATAGCCCAAACATCTCATGTAATTAGACTAATTTAAGTAGTTTATTCATAAGTCTTGCGAATTTTGCTTGGTTGCTTTAGATGGCATGTTTGTTAGTATATTTTGATGATTGTTGATAACGATTACTTTGAGATAGTGTTGTTCTTGTAAGCAGACATATTATCGATATTCTGTTATTAAAACAATTCACTAGAAGGTTATTATTATTTCAGAATTATTATTTTTAAACTTTACCTATGAATGAAAAAAGATAGAAAGAATGGTTGGAAATTATAGCACTGTTCGCTCCATTTTGAACAGACAAATTTTAATTAAACTTTAAATGTAACTAGGTCACATGATAATGCAATTCCATCGTCATATTTATTGGTAAATAATTTTATATTCAATTTTGATTTAAAATGGCTCCTTACTTGCCTAGTAATAATAGCCTAATATTAATCATACTTTGATTACAGCAAACTATACAAATTTGCAAACATAAAAAACAGTTTCAACATGCTTGACGCATTTCATTTGCATGTCGATATTGACTTATCTATGATTATGGTACAACACTAAATCCGCCATATGTGTGGTGCAATTTTGGTATAAGTATGTACGTTTATTCCGTAGATAGAGCAGCTCCTTTCCTTTATTTTTTCCATCCTCTAAGATATTATTCCACATTTGGCTAGTGACACTTGTCAAAAGTTGAAAATACCGAACGCATACACCAACGCAAGCCATTATAAAGATGTTTTTTACCTATAATTCTTTTTTTCCCTGTTGTCAGTGATCTCAGCTCTTGTCCAATCATTTTAAATCTGGTTTTACGCTAACTTGCTTTTAGCTATACAATTTTATTTTGTAATTCACAGTAAATAAAACTTCAAACGATATGTCTAAACGGAGAGAACATAATATGAGCCTTCGAATTATGTTATTGCCACAAATAAAATTCCCACAATTTGAAATTTTTCGGTAAATAAATTACTATTATTAAAAATATGAATATGGGCATCATCTTCGAAGAAAGTCTCTTTTATTGCATTCAGCATTTTAATTGTCAAAATAAGAAAAATGAATGTGATAACGAAGAGTTTAAAAAAATAATCATTAGAGCGAACATTGACTATGCATGCGTCTCAACATAATTTTATCTTCTTTCACAAACTATCGACAAAATAACTTAATTACTACAAGTAATAAAACAAGGACATGACAATTTAAAATGTTAAAAGTGGCAACCCTGCATACGTTATTTAACTCCATCTTAAAAAAATATAGTATAGAATAACTTACTTAGTAACAGCACAAAGTAGTTCTCTCCTCTTCTTAGGTTGCGATTTGGGGAAGCAAGAATTGAATGCTTCATCATTGATGTCATTTTCAAACGTGAGTAATGTTCTTTCGACGCATTTCACGTTCTTTGGCTTTGGCTTAGACGATTTTATTTCTTTCCTGGAAAGTAATAATTATAACTTTAAAAAAAACTGACCTATGTTAATGGTATTACATCAATTTGCCAAGCTTTATTGAAATCGGTTAACGGAAAGTGGGTGAAATTTGACGCCCTTAAAGGTGGAATATTATCTTCCAATTAGTATGGGACCATTATTGAGGTCCCTTTCTAACAAAGAAGAATCATCGAAAACGTAATATACCTACTCACAAAAAAATACAATGGATCTTTTTTTTAGTCGGTTAAAAACATGTAGGATCAGGGCTATGCTGATTAAAACATTTAGACAACTTTTATGAATAAGAAGATATGGATAAGATGATAGCTCTGCCTAACGACATAAGGAACATTTTAGAGCTCCTTCAGCAAACATAATTAAGACGTCTCTATGATTCCTAAAGTCATTGAGCTGCTAGAAGCAAAAAGAACATTAAAACTTACTTGGGTACATCATCAATTTTAATCTCCTCGTCAAGACCAACGACGTCTATGTCAATTTTAGTACTTCTTGTTGCGTCGTCACTGTTCACTTTATTGTCTTCAATTGTCTCTGGTTTAAGTTCTGGCATTGAAACATCCACGTTTGATAGGTCTCCTGGCGTCAGTAGACCTGAATAATTGTAACTTTTTAATAAAAAAACCAACCTCAAAAGTTCGTGGAATGACTATTTACATAGTTTACGTATTTGCATAGTTTTATTGAAATCGGTTACCAGAGAGTACTCGAAACCGGATTCATCCCCAAGTTTCCCACCCTTAGAGGTGGATTTTCTTTAAATTTAAATGAGACCAATATTCAGTGTACCCTCATTCCAAAAAAAAAATCATCGAAATCGGTTCACAAATGCCGAGTAATCACACACACACAAAAAAAAGAAATACAGTCAAATTGACAACCTCCTCCTTTTTTTGAAGTCGGTTAAAATCATTACCAAATATGTTTTTAATACTAATGAAATTAATGAAAATGGTCAACTAGTTTGTCAGTACACGATTGACACGAGGGCAAAAAGGAAAAAACAAACAAAAATTCCCCAACCACACATGGTGTGGCAACATGGGTATATAGGATTTTTTTTGTGTTTGTTCGTATCAAGAAATGTTAGAAAGTTACGTAAGTGTTTTATTGAATGTCAGGATGTTACACCACGATGATATTCAATAATTTTTTTATGAAATTACTCCACTAGTCTGTTATAATTATTAATATTAAAGATCGAACAATTAGAAAAAAATTCGTTCGATCCGGCCGGACTCTAACCGACGTCTTCTAGCAAACCGTGATAGACGCAATGCTAACTAAGCCACGGAATGAACCAGATGACCCCACGAACTTTTCTATGTGCTTGTTTGTCAAATCTTTGTATCTGATTTTCGGAGCGACGGAATTCTTTCTAAGTGTTCGATCTTTGTGTTAATACGTACAACAAGTTATGTAAGTAATAGGGGTTAAAGTATGAAATTGCCGATTTGTACTGAAAATCTAAATTGTTTATTTTTTAAATTTTTAACAAATTTATTTAATCAAAATAGTTGCCATTATTATCTATACATTGCTGCCATCTAATGGGAAGGTTATTAATGCCTTTGCGATAGAACTCCGACGATCTAGACTGCACAAACTGTGTGAAAGCATTTTGTACTGCCTCCTGGGAAGAAAACTTCTTGTCACGTAGATAATTGTCCAAATCACGAAAAAAATGGTAGTCCGTTGGAGCAAGGTCTGGTGAATACGGAGGATGACGAATGGTTTCTAACTGCAGTTCCTGAAGGGTCAAAATGGTTTCTCGTGCTGTGTGAGGTCTCGCGTTGTCGTGGAGCAATAATGGTGAAGATCGATTCATGAGTCGGGGCTGTTTTACTGCTAGTTTTGTCAACATGGTTCGGAGTTCGGCACAATAGACATCTGCCGTTATTGCTTGACCAGATCGGAGAAAACTATAGTGAATAACACCATGCTGAGACCACCAAACAGTTACCATTACCTTTTTATTGGTAAGTTTTGCTTTAGGACACTGTTGTGGCATTTGACCTGGGGTCAGCCATTGCATTTTTCTTTTCCGGTTATCATAAAGAATCCACTTTTCATCACATGTTACAATTCGATCCAATATTCCTTCATTTCTGTACCGGTTCAACAAGGCAACACAAGTTTCAACAGGCGTTTCTTTCTGCAGATCAGTCAAATCATGAGGCACCCATTTTTCGTATTTTTTTATTTTATTGATTTGACGCAAGTGAGTCAATATTGTGGGTAAGGTAACGTTAAACCATGCCGCTAATTCCTGGGTAGTTTGACTAGGATCGGCTTCCACTATCTCTCTTAATTCATCGTTATTCACCTGTGTGGGCGGTCTTCCTCGTGACTCGTTCTTTAAGTCGAAATTTCCATCACGAAAGCGTTTAAACCAAAATCGCACGGTGCGTTCATTAGTAGACCCCTCTCCAAACGCAGCATTGATATTGCGGGCTGTTTCTGCCGCGTTAGTTCCGCGTCGGAACTCGTATTCAAAAATCACTCGAATTTTCGCAGTATCCATCTTTCTTGTCTAAATTGAATAACAAAAACAATTGAAAGTCGATATTCAAATGTTTCAAATTAAAAAAAAAAAAAAATCACAGAAACCATTTGAAAAAAGTTTCATTCGAAAACCTCAAACCATGAAGATTCTATGAAAATTCAAAGAACCTATTGCAATAAAACGGCAATTTCATACTTTAACCCCTAATATTTATATTAATTATGACCACAGACCATAAGTCAAGAGGAATGCTAATCGCGAATCGCTAATGCTATTACCAATAGCGCGATATCGCAACGAGTACCAAATAGGTATTTTTGTAACTAAATTTGTTTTACATTCACGAACTGCAATTAATCAAAGCTACTCTAATTTCCAGTGATAACAAACAAATCAACTAGACGGCGCTTATTGCACTACTATTTTGAGGAGGGATAATACTCCCGGACACAAAACTCGAGCCACCTTGCATTTGTATTCATAAAGGGCTAGAATATAAAAATATAGTTATCATCGAAGAAAAAGTTTTCTCCAGTTTTTTAAATTCAAATTTTCAATAAGAACTTAAGAAAATGACGTTTCGTAGACCAGTTTCAAGTTGCATAATAGTTCTTGATCAATCAAGCATTGTTTAATAAGCCAAGGGCATTTAATATTGAAAATGCAAGGTGACTGGAATTATGTGTCTGGGAGTATAAATATACAATTGATCTATTGTAAATGTACACTTTTTAAGTACATATAATTATATTAATTGCTCCATCTATATTAGTTAATCTACGTATAAATTATAACTACTATTAACCTTACCTTCTTCACTTTTAATTATGTCACTTAAACTCAGATCTGCAATAGGTGTCAAGCTGGTTTTGTCATCATCTCCAATTTCGGATATTAGTGGTACCGAAAATGAATGATATCTGTAAATAAATGAATTTACAAAAATTTTTATCATCTCTAAGGTGTATTCCAGAACTCTACTCAATGTTCAAGTCAGTCACACTTGAGTATGATTTCAAGCACTGGAAATACGACCCAAATGGCAAGGAAGTCCTTAAACTCAAGTGAGTATAATTTCTAATGCTTTAAATCATACTCAAGTCCTGATTTGAGCATTCAGTCGAGTTCTGGAATACGACCCTTAATAATTTACGCCTGACGTATTTATTTCAGAGAATTACATCTCTCCAAAACACATTCCATTTGAAGAGTGTTCAATCAACTGGGTGTTAGTAAAATTAAAGAAAATTTCTTACCTAATAATGGGTCCTGTGATAGTTTTCTTTATAGGCCTCACTTTCTTTCGTTCCATTTCAATTTGTTCAAACCTTTCTGCAATAAAACTAAAATATTGTAAAGTGTGTCCAATAACAAGTAGTGTGAAAAAACAATAGCATAAAATCACACAACTACATAAATAAGGTTCCGCCTCACGCCGCTAGTAGGTATTCGTTTTGTCACTCGCTAAGTTCTACTACAGTAGTAATATTTCCATTGAAAGCAGCAGCTTGACCACTTTCAACGTTACGAACTCGGCTAAAGGGTAACTGTATTACCCCTCTTCTTATTCCATTGACTCGCTTTGTAGATTAGCTTTCACTAGTATTTATTTAAGGGCACATAAGACAATATCTACATAATAATATAGAAGTATATGTGATATTATAGATAGTAAACACGAATAAAAAGTTATGATACTAAAAAAAATTATTGTTGTCAATTATCTAATACCAACAAGTAAGTAGTTATATTTTGCGTGTGATTGATGGGTTTCAAAGAATTTGAAGTGTCATATCAGCGATGGTCACCTTGATAGTTGAATGAGTTCTCCACTAGCAAGGTTGTACTACTATCTTGAACCATTGTTATATTGTTCTTTATATTTCTTAAATATATTTTTGTCCAAGAATTAAAGGTACTTAATTCTGAATAAAATCAATAAGGCTGTGAACTGAATGACTGAATGTTTGCAGTTAATGCGTGAAATCGTAATAGACTTCATGAAGCTGAGATCACGACAGAATAAGTGGATAACGACTTCACGCATTAACTGAATGCAGTTATATCGACTACTTGAAGTTGGTTTCGACTGCATGCAGTTGAAAGTGCGCTGCTGGCACTGCTTGGGCATGTGTGTTCTACGGATTGTAATGTAGCTTCCGCTGCTGGTGAGTCCTGTCGATTATAATGTAGGTAGGAGAGTAGTAGTAGCCTCCGCACTCTCGCTTAGTAAGTTTAAAGTTTAAAATTCAAAAGGGTAAAGAAATAGTGGTAATAAATCCAGTTTTATAAATATTATTTTTTATAAATATTACTCCCGTTTTATTAATATTTGTGATCTTTAAAATGTTTATCGCACAAGAGATTTTTGGTAACTGGTAAACAGTCCAAAAAATTAACGAGATGTGTTCGCTACAGCGATCGGGCAGGGAGTGGCGATGGAACGAAACAAGATCAGAATGGCGAGACAAAGGAATTATTAAAGAACGATTCAAAATTTCAAAACGAGTGGCCAGGAACTAGAGAAAAGGCGATAAAAAGGTGGGATGACGATGTAAGGAGGTCACATCGTCACACAGTTAATGCGTGAAGTCGTTATCAACTTCATGCAGTCGACGTCTCGGATAACGACTTCGCGCATTCTACTGCATGCACTCGAAACCAACAACAACAACCAACAACAAATATATTTAAGAAATATAAAGAACAATACAACAATGGTTCAAGATTGTTTGTAAATGACCTCAAACCATCAAATTAATGGGAGTCGCAGCTCGAGCACTTATTTATACTAAAGAATCAAACAATGGGTTATTAGAGGAGGTTAATTAATGATGCTAACTTTATAATTTAGTTCTTGGAACTATTAGTAAATAAGTCGTAAAAAATGTTGTAAAATGCAACTTTATCACTTGTTCCACATTTTTAGATATCTGAGACAAATGTTACAATCATAACTCATATTTATAATGGCAGAGATGTGACCCTTTGCAACATTCTATAGTCATCCACACTGATAGTTTCCACATCCTATTTTTACTAGGGTACTGTTGTCAACATCATATAACTATGTACAGATAAGGGCACAAGCTTAAAATTGGTGGACCGTGTTGCATGGTACTACAAGTGATATTCAAACAAAGCTGTTTAGCTCAGTTTTAAGCTTATAGTGCTCTTAACTGTACCTGGTTAGGAGATAGAGGATAATTGACAATGATCATATTTTTTTCAGTGTCGTATGGTTCATTTTGGATGGACACCTGAGAAGACGTATTTATGAACTTCTAGTGGCGGGTATCTTTATTTTTTGTAGGTATGTAAGCAGTGTATATACCATTGATAGACACTTACCTAAACTCTTCAAATTCTCCTGTTCAGTAATTAGAGCTTCCTCTAACAATTCTTCCTGCGTAGGCATCCTCTCTTCCACTTTCTTCACCTTCTTTTTCTGTAGTTCTGATCGAATCTTTATCCTCTGTTGAGTTTCTAGTGACTTCACTGCTGTACTTTGTCGTATCGATTTTCTTTCTGCAATATCGTTTTTAACAAAATATATCATACATATTCATATAAATAATTTGTCTCTATTCTTGAGGTCAAGATCTCTGTCTATCAAGAAATGGCAGAGACGATTGTCTTAATACCATTAGAACTATAGAACTTGTAATTTCTGAGCATATTGCATTAAAAGCATATTTACAATGGACATGACAAGGTCTACAATATTTAGAAATTGATTCAAAATACAATGGTTATATTTACAACAGGATAAAACTCCTCAATACCTTAGACAAGAAATTAAAATCATACCTATTGAAGAATCTAATGCTGATTTATCGAGTTTTTCAGTCTTGTCAGCCCTCTCTTCCTTGGGCTTGGGTTCTTTTGGCTTTTTAGCCAGTGGCTCCTTATGTTTAGATGCTCCTTTTCTTTTTCTGTTGGGATCCTGAAAAGACAAATTAGTTATTATATGTAATGTCACAATATGTATTCATTTATATAAGTCAGAGACAGACTTGATGGTATGTATGTATACTAACTATGCCCGCTCTCACTGCGGTAACCAGAGACTACTCTATCGTTTCCTCCACTCACATTATACTTTAGACCTGACCTTTTTTAAGGATACCTTTTACACTTAGGCGGCAACTTCAGAGCGACGGAGCGTATAATGTTGCGTGTCAGCTAATAGTTTTCGGGGCGTTTAATGTATTGACCGATCAGAGTCAGCCGCTTAGTGGCAACCATATTTGCAGGAACGATACACATGTTGTTTTATTACATTTCAGAATAGTGTCATATCATAAATAAAACACGACTTGTGAAACACTTCCATCAACAATGCATTAATGCATTTAAAACCACTATATGAATCGGAATGGTTGCTTCCTACAACACCCTGCTCTTCCACTGACAAGACACTTAACTGCATGCTGTAAACACTGTTACAAAGACTACTCAATGCAAATCTGTATATTTAGCAAGGATGCACAAATCGACGACCTGCTGTACACTACATTGTAGAGAATTTGCTGCCTTATGCTACTAACATCCATCCATTCCATATGGTCAAACCAAAGAAGCATTCCATTCTCAATCCTAGTCACTAAACCATTTCTGCACCACACTCATTTATCACACTGATTCACACATTCTGTTTCTAAGATTTATGCCACATTTACTATGCTCTCAGTTCAATGAAAATCCCTCAATTCTGTTAAGTGTTGCTTGCCAATAAATGTGGTGTGTGACCACTTTAAATATCAGAAGAGTATAAAGTCATAATGTGGTAAAAAAACTGTAATTAGTGATACGCAATTAAATACAATATAATCTATTCTTTGGTACAAGCAATTCTATAACAACTTACTTTATAAGCTTTAGTGCCAACTTGGCGTTTTCTCTTTTCTTCTTCCTCTTGGTCAGATACTGGTTCATCATTTTCATCTATATCAAAATCTGAATCAACAATGTCATCTATTTCTCTTTCTTGCCTGAAAAATGTGAAAACAAGACTTAATTAAAGCTACAAGCTTGAAACACATTTTTTTCCATTGCCCTAATATTTCTGTCCCGCTTCATAATTTGTTACCTCCAAACTTCTAACATAAATAATCTTTTAACTTTTGTGTTTCCCCCCTATATTTTCTACTCTAAGTAAATTCATCCAGGTAAATAATATATACCTGTAAATCCGTGTTACATGTTTGTGCCGTCTTTTGTTTTTTGATTCTCACCTGAGTACTTCCGTGGACCAATCCATCAACCGGTTAATGTCATAATAGTACTAAGTGTTTTTTTTTTGTTTTTTGATAATTTTTCTTTCCACCGTAACATTGGTAAAATCATCATTCTATGTAATGATGGAGCCATAAAAATAAAAAGTGAAGTGTGAAGTTCCTATGCCCATGATGCCAGTGAATCAACATTTTGATTTTGAATTAATGACATTGTACTGATAATGAGACATATGTTATTTTTATTCAGTCAACATAAACCATTTTAACTCAGTGTGGCCAGTAAAACTTGAAATATTTATCTTATGTGTAATGTCATGTGTAAGAGATGTTGCACCCCTCATGGAAGAATGGCATAAGTGGAGTTAGGTCAAAAATATTTATCGCTCTATTAGATACAGAAAAATATAACTCACATCCTCTCCAATTGTAGTATTATTATTAGGGTGGCTTCATTTGGAGGCCTTTGAGGCCCTTCATCACTGCGACCATAAATGATCCAATTGTAGTAACTATCCACTAATATTGTAGACAGAGTTACAAGAATTGGAGAGGATGTGGGTTATATTTTTCTGTATTCAATGGAGCAACAAACATTTTTGACATAAGTTCACTTATGCCATTCTTCCATGAGAGGTTCGCACCCCTCATGGAAATTAAGCATCAATCGCTGTACAGGCTGGGGATTGATGATAGGTGGGAGTAAAGTGGCTGCGAAATTATGACCAAGAAGTGGTTATAAAACATCAACAAAATAACTATTTAACATTACAGTCGCAAATCAAAGATGGGTAAGACTGCACTGGTGGCACCAAATATAGAGGGCCTATAAGCAGAAAAGTGAAATTGAATGATGATGTTTTATATTATTTAAGCTGTTGAAGCTAGTCTCCCTTCAAGTTTATTATACAATTAATCAATAATTGGAAACAAATTAAATTTTTTATTGACATTCAATTATTTTTTGTAAAATTACTGCACTAGTTTGTTGTAATTATTAATACAAAGATCGGAAAAATTCCTTCAATTTGGCCGGATTCTAACTGATGTCTTCTAGGAAAAACTGCCAAGCGCTATGCAAACTAAGTATTACTGCTACTACAACTAAACAAATAATTGGAAACAAAGTTGATAAAACAACTGCGTATTCCAGGTAAAATGTATGACAATAGCTCTCAAAACCTTAGGACTCGTAATTATCATTAATTATGAGTTTATATTTTGCAAACAAATCAAACAATTATACATAATTAGGGTCGCTTAATTCTGGGCCTATGCATCCCATTACTGCGACCATTAACTGATCTATTGTGATCACCACTAATTACACCTTGTGACATATACTACACTCCCTGTTTTACTTTGCCCCATATTTGACGTGTGCTTGTTCAAGCCACAATGCCTTGTTAAGGCTCTAGTCAGCATTGTGATTCCATTCCTGTCCAGTGACAGAGCTTCTCTACAGTGTTTAGCATGTATGCAGCTATCAGAGCTTTCGAATGCTCACAATGAACAGTATTATTACTCATCAAACTAATAAATCATCAATAAAACATACAGGAACATTACTTACACATAATCTCTATCTTCTTCAACCTCCTGGAAACCTCCGTAAGTTGTTTTATAGAAATCATCCTCTTCCTCATCATCGAGCAATTTTGCCATTCGATTGCCGGCATTAGAACGACGCTCTCTTCTAGCCATAGTTGTAGGTAATTAGTTCCTCCGAAAGTTAAAATCACGTTGATTTAATTACTTCTTTTATCTGCCGTGTAAAATAATCTCAAACACAGACAGACCCAGACAAAACAAAAACCAAGCCAGCCAGCATCTTCAAATTTGTGCAGCCAGGCTGTGACTAGAGATGGGAAAAACCACGAAAAAAATGTTGTTTTGTTCGAAAATCGCCTCCAATGCAACGGAACAAGATATGTCAATGTGTAGCTTGATGCGGTGGCGTGTTTACATATATACATAAAGTAGAGGTGGGTGATAAATAACGTCACGATGATCCGCCGTCAAACAGTATCACTGTGACTCGTTCCGAAGGAACGACGTTC